TTATCATGTTCATTCCTGCTATAACATTGTTAATTTTTTTAGCTACAACTGGAAATTGCCAAATACCCCCAAAGATATATAACATGGCAAAGCAAATCACTTTCATTACACCAATATAAGGCAAATAATTTATTTTTTTAGATTTTAAGCCTACAAAAATTTCTAATCCGAGTCCCTTTCCAACATTTATCTTTATCAAGTAAAATGTAGAATAGATGAATTCATTCATGTTGATATTAGAAGCAGACCTAATATTGACCTTTATTTTGTGGTAATATTCGAACAAAATTGCTGCACGGCCCCATTCTTCAAAATTTTACATGAAGCACAAATCAAATTTGCAACGTACAACCTGCAGATGCAAATTTGGAGTGGGAATTCAAACCGTTGGATCGAAAAACATTGTGTGCACATGCGATCCTACGGCTCGGACCAAATTATCCTCTTAATCCTACAGACTACAAAGTTTAACCTATTTCAACCAAATTGATTTCCCCACTCTACACTTGANAAAGGTACTCTTGCAATATTCCTAGTTTTTAAAGCCAACGCAGAATTCGAACACAATGTAAAAAGCTTGACTGATTGAAGAAACAACAATTTTATGCTATTGGTTATATATAATTTAGTTGTGGACCATTTAAAAGTCGCCTCATGTATGCAAATTGCACGGATAACAGACACGGGTGGGTCATGGATCACGTGGATAAGACCCTACCCGGATAGTGAACTACAAATAGGGACCCGGGAGAGTTTTGGACCTCCTACCCCACATTCTAATTTCAAGTTTTCTCAAACACAAATTCTTGTGTGATGCAGTTAATCGTCAGACGGGTCGACTCATTATATATTTTTGAAATATCATACTTTATTTATAATTTTTTTAGAGTATCATCTAATTATGAAAGTATGCATAGTTATTGAAAAGTATGATTGTTTAACCGTTAGGCCTGCCTAACAGTAGCCTTGTTGTTTCTCAAATCACACAAAATACACATATGTATTGTTTGGGCCACTGTTCTAAAAATCGGCAAAAAAAATCGGCCAGGCGACTAGGCGGCCCTAGGCGCTCCTAGGCGGCCTTGGCAGGCTCGGCGGCCAGGCGTCTAGGCGGGCGTAGGCGGACTTAGCCGCTCCTAGGCGGGCTCGGCGGTAATTTTTCATTTTTTTTTTATTTTTTTATTTTTTTAAATACTAATTACATTATTTTGTTCTCATGTTTTCTTTAATATATATTAATATTATTATTTGGACTTTGGTGTGTGGATATATTATATGTTGAGATAATTTTATTTTGTAGGTAGTTAAAATAAATAAAAAATAAGGTATTTACTATTGATTTCTGGGCCCCGACTAGGCGCTCTAGGCGCTAGGCACTGATCGAGCGCCTAGCGGGCGCCTAGCGACTTTTAGAACACTGGTTTGGGTCAATAAAATATTTATTAATGGTTCACCAAATTTGGATATATATCAGTTGGGAATCTATTACTATTTAATACGGAGAAGAAAAATTATTTGAACAATTCAAAAAATATCGTTTCGTTTTCCCGCTTCAATATAGTGCTTTTCCCGCTTCTTCAATTCGTAAAAATTTTTTTTGAAATTTTTCAGCCATGCAATTAGGTAACCAATCAAATCAAATCTTTTAGCATTCAATTTGGTAAGGTGTTCTGATTTTAGCATTCAAGTCCGATTCCACTTCCTTTTTTTATGCCAATCAATTCGATTTTTTTGGTTGTTTCAAAATTTGTTTAGATTTATATTTTTATTTTATTAATATATTTGGAAGAGAATCAATAAATGTTTATCATAACTTTTATTTTAAAAATAAATTTGAATAAGCATACCTTTTACTTTATATGAAATTCAAAATTACATATTTTAATATATTAATAAACGTTTATTATTTATTTTTTTCTTATGTGATATAATAGAATTTCGGTATTAAATTTGTAAATTCAAACATTTAAAGGAAAAGATTCTAAACAATTTTTTTGGGTAAATTTCATTTTATCTTGGTTTTCATTATTACATTTCTAACAAACTAATTAGTATTATATTTTTTTATCTACATTATCTAACCGATTTTTTATGATACAATTAATATAATATCTTAACAAATTAATCATTTGCCTAACCGGATTTATCTCTCTAACAAACTTGCCAATTTTTTTAAAATTAAAATGGTATGATTATTTTATGGAGATACTTATCAATATATTAAATATTGAGAAACTTTTTTTAAAAAATGAGTTATCCCTCTTTTTACTTTATTTGAAATTCTAACTTATATTTTTAAATATATTATTATTTATTTTTTTACATGTAAATATTTATTATTTATTATCTAAGTGATAAATATTGTTGATTTATCTCTTTAATAAATATTTATTATTTATTTTATTCCTTACGTGATATAATGTAAATTTGGTTACTAGATTTTTAAATTCAAACATTTAAAGGAAAAAACCACGAACAAATTTTTTGGTTACATTTCATTTTATTTTAACTTCCATATAATCACAATCCTAACAAACTAATTAGTATAATATTTTTTTACCCATTTTAATGTAATCGAATTTCTTAAAATATAATTAATATAACATTTTAACTATTTAATCATTTGTATAACTTGATTTAACTCATTATCAAACTTGCCAAATTTTTTTTTAAATTAAAAAAAATTTGAAAGATTTTTATTTGTAAAATAATAAAAAATAGCTTTACTTTAAAGTCTGGATTATTTCCATTATTTTTTGTACGTTAACAATCATATATTTTGGATTATTGATTTAAAAAAACAAATCAAAACCGTAAGGTTTAATAATATTCCTTAAATAAAAAATATTGTATAAAGAAAAGTATTTAATAATATATATTTTTCATTGATTGTATTTATTTTATTTTCATAATAGACGAGATGTGAAAAATATAATAATTATATTTAAAATAAAGTCTAAAAAATATTTAAAATATGAACTCTTCCGTGCATCGTACGGGATATACACTAGTATAATACATGAGACCAATTAATTATATGTCTTCATTTAACAGATATTTGGTTGGTTGATAGATATAAATTATACATCAATGGTGATGTGTTGGAAGAAGTATATACAACTGGGAATAGAAAGAGAGACACTGTGGATAATCAATCAGATGCATTTGTCTTTTAAAAGAAACAATGTTGGGTCAAGATATATACCTTACTATAACTAAAAATGAAACAAAAACATATTACAAAAACTATAATCATCTTATTTCACCTTTTTCCTACAATCTCAACAATATAATGAAAAAAATACAAGTCATCTTATTATATTTAAAAAAAACACTCTTATTGATTATTAAGTTATTATGTTTATACTATATCAACTTAAATTATTATATATTCATCTGATATGTCAAATTGTCTCGAACCGATAGACCGCTTCTCCGAATCGGTTTGCCTTCCTTGAATCGCCGGTAACCTGCAAGTACGCCGGGGGTGGTCCCAGCGCAAACACTCCGACGCCCAAGTCAGTGACGAATTTTGGAGAAGTAGCAGATATATGAGACAAAGTGTATGTTCATAGATGTTGTGTTATGTGTAAAAAGAAAGGAACCTGCCCTTTTTATATCCGAAGGCGGACGCCCTAAAGACTCTTGTGGTGACAAGAGTCCCTCTTCAGCCTACCTCTGGGCAATGCAAATCTTATCCAATGACCGTAGAGTCCTGCTCGACCCTGTCTTCCTATGATCCGGGAAAATCTCCGCGATACGCGCAACGGCTCCCTGTCGTAACATCATCCACCTCCTTCTACCAAGCTGAGCTCTTCCTTTGTACCGCCGAGTTCATTTCCAACATTCAGGTGTGTTCGCCCAAAGTTTACGTCATTTATCAGCTCGGCCACCTGCCCAGCTTACAAGCTTGGCCTCCCATAGTTGACCAACTAGCTCGGCTAGTTAGCTAGGTTCTCGCACTTGGTCGAGCTCATCTGAAATCCGGCGCTTACTTTGAGTGGACCGGGTCAGCCTACTTGCCGAGCTACTTCCTTTAATATCAGCGATGTTATGCTACATCATCATCTTATATCCATTCATAATTTCAAATTTTTTCTCTTTTTATTCTTATCATCTGGATAAAAGTTTTTGAAAAATCTTATATCCAATTACAAGCAAATGTCAGAAAAAACCCGTGGCTGAAATGAAAGAAGGAAAAAAAACATAAATCATATTTTGCTTTTATTGCGTAACTGGTTATGAGTGGGAAAAGGACCGGGTCACCATTTTCATTGATATGGTCCCGAAATTCTATAAAACAGATAAAATTAATCAAAGCAGATGAAATTTTCTGTCGGTTCACTTTGTTTCCATTTTTTCCAATGATTATTGAAAGAAGGAGTATTATTTATTTATTTATTTATTTTGGCGTGAAAAGAGATGATAGAAGGAGCCATGCAAACCATGCATATAANTTGAGTTATAATTTCAGAAAAGATTCAGGACAATAGATATTCCTAACCACATGAATAGGACTATACATAATATAACAGTACTTTGGACTACCGTACGGGAAAATTCGATCAGATGACAATAACTTACTAGTTTGTTACCATTGAATTACAAACACTCACACACACATTCACAAATATGTATTTATCCAACATAAAAAAATACGATAAGCGTGGATGTGTGAGTAAGGCAAATTATGTAAAATTGTTATATATTTATATTTTATGTGACCTATTTTGTACGTTTCATCTAAACACATAGAATTAGAAGTATATATGGTTCATTTATTGGACTCAATTAAACAACTAATTAATTTGATTCTAAATTATAATAAGCCTTGTTTGAGAATTAACAGCTAGCAAAATTATGTAACAGAGAAAATGTTACTGGTTAAACTTCTGATTGAGATCCTAACATATATATAAGTATAGTCCAAAACGCTACTTTACCAACACTGCACAATGGGAACAAATTAATTAAAAATCATCATTAAGTTCAACGTTAAATTAAGAATCTCTCACAGGTGTAACAAAACACCTCAGAGGAAACAAACACTGGGAACCTCCTTTACATCTCAGGTTAGCATCAACAACACACAAATCACCCAAACAGGGCCTTTAAAACATAAGG